GCCCGAAACCACTCCCAAAGAGGTGAAAGTTGATCGACGAAAGCCGCAGTTGAAGGCCAAGACAGAGCCCACGCCTGAACCAAAAGTGGTGACATCGACTGCAAGACGTGGCGGACGAGCGGCCAAAAGAGGTCGCGCCTCTCCCGTCGCCGCCAACGCATCCAAAGCTAATAACGTTAACAGTAATAGCGATGGAGAGAACAGTGAGAGTCAAACGGAGGGCGAATCCAACCGAAAGAGGGGTCGAAAACCGAAGGAACCGATTAAAGAAGAGGACAGATATGTTCCTAACACTGACTCCGCTAAGAGAGGTCTGTTTTCTTGTGTCCAAATGACTTTCATATTAACATAAGATTTAAAACTTTTGATAAAGTATTTGTATAATAATTAAAATATTATTTGTTTTAATGGTATAGGAATTATGGCTGAAGGGAGCACTTCGTTGAGACGCAGGGATCAGATCAAGTCTAAGGCCCGTTACTCTCCGCCGCCATTCGATACGCCTAAAAGGGAGAGAACGGCCATAAAGTTCCCGTCGACCACTTCCTCGAGTACTCGTTACGTGAATGAGAGCGACGACGAAGACATGGTGTCGGTGTCGCCCACTTTCAAACTCACGGCCGATGTGTCGCCTCCGCGACGGAAAGCCAATACAAATCGCGCGAACAGTGAATCTGTCCACACCATTGAAAACGTTGGCGTTTCGAAGATTGGCGACGGAAGCAAACTTGTGGTCACTCTTCCCGACGGAACTAATATTAAAGTATATTTTTGTTGTTAAGTTGTGTCGAGGATTAGCTCTAAATAGTTGTAATTTGTTGGCCAATAGGTGGACGCGTCTACGACTAGCACTAAAAAGGTTGCCTTCAAAGGGACCAAAAAAGTAGGCGAAAAGTTGGAATCGGTTGACATTGAATGCGATGACGCGGGCGCTAAAGCAGACCCAATGGATGACGACTATAAGCCATCTCGAGGTCGGAAGAGTACAGACGGCAAAACCCCCGGCGATAAACCCAAAGTGATTCAAACGTACTCTCGAGTGACTCCCAAACAAACAATATCGTCGCCCAAACTGTTAGCGATATCTCAAACACAATTGAAGTCTCAGATGAGTGGTCAGACATCGGCGGCCAAAATAACGCCCAAATTTGTGACGACACCGTCGGCCCAACCGAAGAAGACTCCGGTGGCGACCACTCAACGCCGCACTACAACACCAATGACTAAATACATCGACGGTTTGCCAGAACTTCACGAATGCACTCTTGATGTGGAGAACGACTCGCAGTTAACCAAATTGCCGGACAAAATACTACTCCTTCACTCAGAACTGCCACTCAATCTGGCGCTGAGTGTTGAACACGAAGAGGAGTCGTTCCTATTCCGGCAGATCGTGTCGCCAATGGAGCCGAACCGATACGTGTGTCTGCTTTGCAAAGGCATTGACGTGAGCTATGCGACCAAAGAGGAGAAGGACATTATCTCTCACTACCGGACGCTCCACGAGTTGGATGTCGTGACGGCGAACGCCAAGTTCTCCGAAGACATTGTCTTCATATGTCTGCCGAAGACAATACTGCAACAGTTGAAGAGCAACAACAACGCGATCCCATTGAACGCCCCCTGTCAGTACTGCGGCGATGAGGTCAGACTCATTAACATCGAGAACATGAAACAGCACTACTGTCTGGAGCACAACAAAGAGGTAACAATGATAGAACAGGAAGAGATCCTTCGGATGCATCTCTTCTTCTATTGCTCGCAATGCAAACATCAATCAAAAGACTTCGAGTCTCATCACAAGCACATGAAAGACGAGCACAAATGCAAGTCATATAAATGCAAGAATTGCGTCCTCATTACGCAAGACCTGACTCGCCTCAAGACTCACTTCCGGGCCAAACACATGATTAACAATTCCACTCAGAATATGCAGTGCTATTACTGTCACGGATTGCTTATCGGAATCGATCGCCTCAATAAACACATACAACAGTCTCATATGGTTCAGACCGGACCCACAGAGTTCTCATGCGTGGCCTGTCTTAAGCCGTGCGGTCGCGGCAAAGACTTGCTAACTCACGCCCAGTCGTGTGCAATGGCTGGACATAACAACAGGGATTCCAAAGACAAAGACGAGAAGAGCAAACAATTGATGGCCAAATCGGAGCCCGTGGAGGGCGAGGCCGCCATCTGTTTTCTATGCGGCGATGAGTTTGAGAACAACGAGATATGTCTTCTCCATCAACATCACGTTCACATGCGATGGGTGTCAGATCTGAGACGGTATACCAATACTACGGTTACCGCACAACTCATTGACCCGCCGTTAGTCAAGGAGCTGACCATCGATGACTTGACGCCCGAAGAAGATCTTAGAAAATCAAAAGTGGACACAATTGTGGGTCATTGGTGTCGAATGTGCGACCAAATGGTGAAAGTGTATCGTCTTTTCTACCTTCATANACTCTTTTGCATATATTGTATGACAAAAAATCGATTAAAATAACAGCGAATTCATTAAAAACTATTAAATAAAAAGACTATTACTTCTAAGAAATGATTCCTTTGTTCCAAATGCTGAATAAATATCGATTCAAATAAACATAACAAGTATTTCACTGGAAATGCCCATTAATTTGTGGGAAAAACGCTCTCTTATTTGTTTTTCTACTTCACATATAATTAGATTATTATAATTTATATTCTCTTTCGTATAATTAATAGGAGTTTTGGTGTCGTCTTATGGGAACTGATGAACTGCGAGATCCCTTATCGAGACGTTGACTCGTCGGCCATTATATGGGGTGTCGGCAACTCGAGTCTCACTCTACCCGTTGCCACCAAATGCTTTCCCGAAGGCTTTCAGCTACTGATGAAACAGTGTTGGAACGCAAAGGCACGCAATCGGCCCTCATTTAAGAACATTATAATGCATATCGAGATCGCGGCCAACGAGTTGGTCAACATTGAACCCGACGAGTACTTTAAGCTGCAGATCGATTGGCGCGAAGAGATTCAGAATTGTTTGCTGCGAATGAAGCGAAACGGACGAAGAGATCTGTCGACTGACGACGAGGCAGAGCTCATCAAGAAGAGGAAGGATGAGTTGAGTCACGCGCAGGACATTCGCGAGCACTACGAACGCAAACTCGAGAGGGCCAACAACTTGTATATGGAGTTAACCGCCTGTATGTTGCAGTTGGAGCAGAAGGAGAAGGAACTGATCCGCCGCGAAATGATGCAAATGGGCGGTAGGGGTCACTCCAGTAAGAAACAGATAGTGGGACCACTCCTTCAGGCGGCGCACGAACGCATCAGCAGCTCTCGGAGGGGCTCTTATAGACCCGACCAACCCATTGAAACTCAATCGCCGAACAAACAGTCGGCGGAGTGCGTGTCGTGTCACGGGTCCGCCCGTTCGCGCATTAAACGCAACCGACAGCGCCGTAGTATCAATTCGCAGACCGGAAGTGGCAATCATAGCCATCTCGCGAACCAGACTCTCAGCTCAACTCTCAATAACAATTATATCACTTATAGTCCGCGTCCGAGTCCTCTGCAGGAGAGGAAAAGTTTTGTCGACACAGAAACACAAACTGATTATGTGTTGAGCGAATCCGATTTAGTCAGCCCTTCCTCATCAACACTCTCTCCAATGTCTGCCATCGGACGCGTCGAGACTGTCATTGAAATGGGAGACAACGACATGAATAACGGTATCATAAGAGGTATACCAAAGACAAGCACTACTTCCACATTCGACTCAGGGTTTGACTCTCAGAGCTGTCTGTCGACACCTACTGCCAGAACTAGTGGTCACGACCGAAGCCCTGTGACTCCCATATCCGGCAAATCGAGTTCCGTCGAGACCGACACCGAAGACTCGAACAAAACTAAACTCAAGACTCGCTCAACAAATATCACTCAAAACCCGATCGCGAGTCTCAGTTCAATCGATGAGAACGGCGTTAACAGCAATACAGCCGGCGCTCAACTGGCGAACCAAGACGTGTGTGATGTGGCCATTGTTCGCAGAGGGAGTATCACATGTCAGCGCAGGTTTGCCGGCAGTCCTTACATTCCGGACTTCAACAAAATGGGCCACAAGTCTCAGCCATATATCGGCCAAAGACCTGTCTTACAACACGCCGGAAGCAATATATCGATTGCGTCGCACAGTTCCAGCTCTGGCAGCGAAGAGGAGGGCGCCGTCGACAGCGATGACTACGGCAGCCATCCATCCCATCACAAGAGGAAGGGAGGTTTGGCCCAACACTTGAGTCAGCACCGACTCAGCGGTCAATCCATTTCCACTCTCAGCTCAGATGGAAACCTGAGTGACGAAGAAGAGGGCAATACTAGCGAATACTCGAGTAATCAAAACGATATGATCTCTAGTCTTTCAAATCCGGATCTGACAAACGCTAACGTAGAGAATCAGACGCTCAGCGCCAGTACCAGTACGAGTGATAGCAAAGTAAGTGTTGGAAACAATTAGTACTCTTGTTTTGATTGATGGCAAACAAATATCACAAAAACAAATTGCTTACAAAATCTATTGTGTATTGCATATGGTTTTGGCCAACAGAAGCTGCCATCGACTCCACACTCACTGTCTTCAACAAACACGACGACAACCAACTCAGACACTGACGAGGTGTCCAACGTTACGGTCGCCACATCTTATTTAGTGGTTCACAAACCCAATAACCCCTATAACCTCAACAACAATAACAACGACAACCAGACCGTCACATCCCAATCACAAACATCACAACAAATACCAAATATATCCAGTGAAACCACTGTCTGGTGATATACCATATGATAGCCGTTTGAATACATGACTTGCCTCTCAAACGGGTCGATGAAGAGCGCCGTCGAAATGTATTCAACGTTTCATATAATTAGTTGATAATTAGGCGCATAAATGCATAATATTTTCAAACATATGCTTTATTGTACTGTAATTCTGATACCAGAACCCAAACACATTCCATAGCGTGTGATCTGATGGCTGTGTTGGTCAGAGATGACCACCGATTCATTGCACTCACCAAAGAAAGAGGTGTTCACCCAATCTCTGACTAACTAACCATTTATTATATACAGTAATAATAGATTAATACAACCGTTATATATAAGTATTGCTTTGCATTCCAAGACCGAGTCTGTAATTAAGTTAAGCTAAAAGTACTTTTTTAGTGAAATCTTCATTTTTTATCGTTTTTAGACATTATATACATAAGAATGAACCCTATATTATGAAATGACAGCGATTTCCAATTACACACTATTGATATAATATAACATTCCGTTTGTTTATCTATATTCCGAAATTAGGTGTCGGTATATATCTGTTTGATTGGAAACAAGTACTGAATATTTAATTGTAATCTACTTTTGAGCTCTTTATAGACTTTAATTTTTTATATAAACTTTGAAAAAAACTTATAAAAAAGTGATGAACTGTTTTGTTGATGAATTCTGACGATTCAAATAAAGCTATAAATTATTTGTTGATTTGATTGAAATGATTGAAAATAATATTTTGTATTTATTTTACCCGACATTCAAACTAAACATTCAAATACAGGAAAAGCAAATTCATTGATTATTTAAGTGAATTAATTTATTACACAAATTAGTGTTTAGTAATCATTAGTAGAAATATGATTATTTGGTCATATATTGGGCTATAATATGATATTTGGTGATAAACTTATCGCAATAACTATTACTTAACTACTTCTTAGCTTTTAATGCATAGTATGATAGATATTGGTTGAGATATTCTAACAATTGATAGCTTTTCTACAGTGAAAGCTTACACACAATTATAAACGCTATAAATGTTTATAATGAGCACAACATATGTGGCAGAAGTTTCATCAATTGGGACAATAAATATTTAAAATTAGCTAGGTAACTTGTAGAATTCTTACAATTCGAATATAACCAAGGTACTTAATCATATCTACTGTCAAATGTCTGATATGATTGTGATGTATAAGTTGTAGATATATTACAATATTTCAAATTGACTCTTAATTTAGTGTCAATTAAAGCTAATTATAAGATAATTAACCACTAATTGATTGATTGTATAATAATTACAAAATGCAAGCAATGACTGTGTGTTGAGTGCCATCTATGAGAGTGTGAGGGCCGGCACTATAGGTCTCAACAATAGCCGCAAAAATAGGCAAAAAAGTGCATTTAATCGTCAATTGGGGTAAGTTTTGGCCATTCATTGGCTTTAATTGCTTTAAAACATATCAAATATGTATTGGCTATCAATTGTCACCGCATTTACATTGCGTTCAAATAGACGCCAAGTATTGATGACTGCATTCATTCATTCATTACTGTATTGTGTATTGAATTGAATGTTAAGTCAATACACAATACGTTTGGCGCACAAAATGGACGCTAAATATGGATAAAAACTTTATATTACGGCCCAAAGGGTGTGTCGGGTGTCCCACACCTCACACCCCGTCCCCACTCACACCCAAAACACTCAACAATTGTCTGCAAAGACATTAATTAATGGCAATTAGTGTTAATTGAATTGATTGTCGTTTAAAAGCAATACTGATATGAAATGTTTGTATTTTATGCAAATTCCCCAAACATTTGCCAAACAGTTGCCAACGCTTTCACACATTCACTCACAATATGGCCAACACTTGACTCATAGATTACGTACGCATTACAGTTGAGGGCACTCTTGACGTACGCGTCGACCATAATTGCCATTAAATGCTGTTTTGGCCAAACATTTGTAGTTTTGCGTCCATTTCTGTCCACTACTCGTCCGTACAATTGTTTTTCTCTGTATTTAACACTAGTTTTGCCGTTAAATGCATTGAAAGGAGTGTTTTATATGAGTAGCGAATAGAGAGTGGAAACTAAGTTAGGGTCTCATAATATGCGGACGTATTGTCTGTGAACGCATTGAATAGCGCTTTGAGTGCCAGACATAAAGGAGAGCTGAAAATCACATCAAAATATGACACAAATTATAATTGAAATTTAAATCAATATTTATTGTCATTTTAATAGTGTTTATAACATAACTAGTAATCAATCGCTTCTTTTCGTCACAAGTTTTGTCCGAAAAACTTTTGTTTTACGCCTTTTCCGGTATTTTAACCATTCATTCATTGTTTGTCTCATTGTTTTTCGCGAGACAACCATTAAATACGAGTGGTTTTGGTGTCACTCCAACTGATCCGTTGTCTCTCTCCCTCTAATTTAGCCGATAATTTGATTGGCAATCACTAGCGGTCTCCCAATCGATTGGATGGCACGCGGAGGTCGTGGCGGACGCGGTGGCAGTCGGACAACACGTGGCTCTCCCGGACGCGCCGCCGGTTCAACACCCGCTACAACACCCAAACCCGCGCCCACCGGAGGACAGACACCAGACAGCGTCGACATTAAGGCCGAAAAGTCGGACGCGTCTAAAGAGACGAGTAATGGCGGAGAGCCGGTGACAGAGACCGTCGCTCCGCCCGAAACCACTCCCAAAGAGGTGAAAGTTGATCGACGAAAGCCGCAGTTGAAGGCCAAGACAGAGCCCACGCCTGAACCAAAAGTGGTGACATCGACTGCAAGACGTGGCGGACGAGCGGCCAAA